CTGAAGGGCCCCAAGTTCAAGATGCCCGAGATGCACATCAAGGCGCCCAAGTTCTCCATGCCCGACGTCGACTTCAACCTGAAGGGCCCCAAGGTCAAGGGTGACGTGGATGTGTCTGTTCCCAAGCTTGAGGGTGACCTCAAAGGTCCCGACGTGGACATCAAGGGCCCCAAAATCGACATCGAGGCGCCTGACGTGGACATTCACGGCCCGGAGGGGAAGTTCAAGCTGCCCAAGTTCAAGATGCCCAAGTTCGGGATGCCGGGGGTGAAAGCTGAAGGCCCGGAGGTGGATGTGAACTTGCCGGCGGGAGACCTGGACGTGTCGGGGCCCAAGGTGGACGTTGAGGGGCCAGAGCTGGACATTGAGGGTCCTGAGGGGAAGCTGAAGGGGCCCAAGTTCAAGATGCCCGAGATGCACATCAAGGCACCCAAGATCTCGATGCCCGACATTGACTTGAACTTGAAGGGCCCCAAAGTGAAGGGGGGTGTGGACGTGTCTGTTCCCAAGCTCGAGGGTGACCTGAAGGGCCCCGAGTTGGACATCAAAGGCCCCAAAGTCGACGTTGACCTTCCCGACGTCGAGCTGGAAGGTCCTGAGGGGAAGCTGAAAGGCCCCAAGTTCAAGATGCCCGAGATGCACATCAAGGCGCCCAAGTTCTCCATGCCCGACGTCGACTTCAGCCTGAAGGGCCCCAAGGTCAAGGGTGACATGGACGTGTCCGTCCCCAAGCTCGAGGGTGACCTCAAAGGTCCCGACGTGGACATCAAGGGCCCCAAAATCGACATCGAGGCACCTGATATTGACATTCATGGCCCAGAAGGTAAAATAAAAATGCCCAAGTTCAAGATGCCCAAGTTTGGGATGCCGGGGGTGAAAGCTGAAGGCCCGGAGGTGGACGTGAACCTGCCGGCGGGAGACCTGGACGTGTCGGGGCCCAAGGTGGACGTTGAGGGGCCAGAGCTGGACATTGAGGGTCCTGAGGGGAAGCTGAAGGGTCCCAAGTTCAAGATGCCCGAGATGCACATCAAGGCGCCCAAGTTCTCCATGCCCGACGTCGACTTCAACTTGAAGGGCCCCAAGATCAAGGGCGACCTGGACGTGTCTGTCCCGAAGCTCGAGGGTGACCTGAAGGGCCCCGAGTTGGACATCAAAGGCCCCAAGGTCGACATCGAGGCGCCCGACATTGACATTCACGGCCCGGAAGGTAAAATAAAAATGCCCAAGTTCAAGATGCCCAAATTCGGGGTGTCTGGGTTGAAGGCCGAAGGCCCCGACCTCGATGTAAATCTCCCCGACGCCGATGTTGGTATCTCGGGTCCCAAGGTCGATGTTGCTCTTCCTGACCTTGACCTTGAAGGACCAGAGGGAAAACTGAAAGGGCCTAAATTTAAGAAGCCCGAAATGCAATTTAATGTTCCAAAAATCTCCATGCCGGATATCGACTTAAACTTGAAAGGCCCCAAAGTAAAAGCTGACCTTGATCCCTCTCTCCCCAAAATGGAGGCTGAGCTGACAAGCCCCAAGCTCGACATCAAAGGCCCGGAATTAGAGGTCGAGGGGCCTAAGCTCGATCTGGAAGGAAAATCCAAAAAATCCCGCTTTAAACTGCCAAAATTTGGCTTTTCCGGTCCTAAAGTTCAAAGCCCCGAGGTGGAAGTGAAACTTAAAAAACCCGACGTTGAAATATCCGGCCCGAAAGTTGAGGTTCAGGCTCCGGATGCCGACGTCCAGGCCAAATCCAAAGGGTCCAAATTTAAAATGCCTTTCCTGAGTATTTCCTCGCCTAAAATGTCGATGCCGGACGTGGAGCTCAACCTCAAGGGCCACAAACTCAAAGGGGACCTGGATGTCTCCAGCCCCAAGTTGGAAGCGGAACTAAAAGCTCCCGAGATCGACGTCAAGGGCCCCAAAGTCAACCTGGAGGCGCCAGACGTGGATATTCACGGCCCGGAGGGGAAACTCAAAATGCCCAAGTTCAAAATGCCCAAATTTGGGGTTTCTGGGTTGAAAGGGGAGGGGCCGGAGGTGGATCTCAACGTTCCGAAAGGAGACTTGGAGGTTTCGGGCCCCCGGGTGGCTATCGAAGGTGGTGGCTTGGAGGTTGAAGGGCCGGAGGGCAAGTTCAAGGGCCCCCAGTTTAAGATGCCCGACGTTGGCCTCAACCTCAAAGGCCCCAAGGCCGACGTGGACGTCTCCCTCCCCCAGGTGGATCTGAAGGGCCCCGATTTGCACCTGAAAGGACCAAAAGTGGACGTAGAAGGTCCTGACCTTGACATTGAAGGTCCCAAAGGAAAACTGAAAGGCCCCAAATTTAAAATGCCTGAAATGAATATCAAGGCCCCGCAGATCTCCATGCCAGACTTCGATTTGAACTTGAAAGGTCCCAAGACTAAAGGAGGCGTGGAGGGCGATCTCTCGGGGCCAAAACTGGAAGGGGACTTGAACGTGCCCGACGTTCATCTTAAAGGCCCAAAACTTGACCTTGAGGATCCTGAGCTGGATGTTGAAGGGCCGGAAGGAAAACTGAAAGGCCCCAAGTTCAAGATGCCCGAGATGCACATCAAGACGCCCAAGATCTCGATGCCTGACATTGACTTGAACTTGAAGGGCCCCAAGATCAAGGGTGACGTGGACGTGTCTGTCCCCAAGCTCGAGGGTGACCTGAAGGGCCCCGAGTTGGACATCAAGGGCCCCAAAGTCGACGTTGACCTTCCCGACGTCGAGCTGGAAGGTCCTGAGGGGAAGCTGAAGGGCCCCAAGTTCAAGATGCCCGAGATGCACATCAAGGCGCCCAAGTTCTCCATGCCCGACGTCGACTTCAACCTGAAGGGCCCCAAGGTCAAGGGCGACCTGGACGTGTCCGTCCCCAAGCTGGAAGGTGACCTGAAGGGCCCCGAATTGGACATCAAGGGCCCCAAAGTCGACATCGAGGCGCCCGACGTGGACGTTCACGGCCCGGAGGGGAAGTTCAAGCTGCCCAAGTTCAAGATGCCCAAGTTCGGGATGCCGGGGGTGAAAGCTGAAGGCCCGGAGGTGGACGTGAACTTGCCAAAAGGGGATCTTGATGTGTCTGGGCCCAAGGTGGACGTTGAGGGGCCAGAGCTGGACATTGAGGGTCCTGAGGGGAAGCTGAAGGGCCCCAAGTTCAAGATGCCCGAGATGCACATCAAGGCGCCCAAGATCTCGATGCCCGACATTGACTTGAACTTGAAGGGCCCCAAAGTGAAGGGGGGTGTGGACGTGTCTGTTCCCAAGCTCGAGGGTGACCTGAAGGGCCCCGAGTTGGACATCAAGGGCCCCAAAGTCGACGTTGACCTTCCCGACGTCGAGCTGGAAGGTCCTGAGGGGAAGCTGAAGGGCCCCAAGTTCAAGATGCCCGAGATGCACATCAAGACGCCCAAGATCTCGATGCCTGACATTGACTTGAACTTGAAGGGCCCCAAATTGAAGGCGGGGGTGGACGTGTCTGTTCCCAAGCTCGAGGGTGACCTGAAGGGCCCCGAGTTGGACATCAAGGGCCCCAAAGTCGACGTTGACCTTCCCGACGTCGAGCTGGAAGGTCCTGAGGGGAAGCTGAAGGGCCCCAAGTTCAAGATGCCCGAGATGCACATCAAGACGCCCAAGATCTCGATGCCTGACATTGACTTGAACTTGAAGGGCCCCAAATTGAAGGCGGGGGTGGACGTGTCTGTTCCCAAGCTCGAGGGTGACCTGAAGGGCCCCGAGTTGGACATCAAGGGCCCCAAAGTCGACGTTGACCTTCCCGACGTCGAGCTGGAAGGTCCTGAGGGGAAGCTGAAGGGCCCCAAGTTCAAGATGCCCGAGATGCACATCAAGGCGCCCAAGTTCTCCATGCCCGACGTCGACTTCAACCTGAAGGGCCCCAAGGTCAAGGGCGACATGGATGTGTCCGTCCCGAAGCTCGAGGGTGACCTGAAGGGCCCCGAGTTGGACATCAAGGGCCCCAAAGTCGACATCGAGGCGCCTGACGTGGACATTCACGGCCCGGAGGGGAAGTTCAAGCTGCCCAAGTTCAAGATGCCCAAGTTCGGGATGCCGGGCTTCAAGGCCGAAGGCCCGGAGGTGGACGTGAACCTGCCGGCGGGAGACCTGGACGTGTCGGGGCCCAAGGTGGACGTTGAGGGGCCAGAGCTGGACATTGAGGGTCCTGAGGGGAAGCTGAAGGGGCCCAAGTTCAAGATGCCCGAGATGCACATCAAGGCGCCCAAGTTCTCCATGCCTGACGTTGACTTCAACCTGCAGGGCCCCAAGGTCAAGGGCGACCTGGATGTGTCCGTCCCGAAGCTCGAGGGTGACCTGAAGGGCCCCGAGTTGGACATCAAGGGCCCCAAAGTCGACATCGAGGCGCCCGACGTGAACCTCGAAGGGCCGGAGGGAAAACTGAAAGGCCCCAAGTTCAAGCTGCCGGAAACTCACGTCAAGACCCCCCAGATCTCCATGCCAGACATAGACTTGAACTTGAAGGGCCTGAAGCTGAAAGGTGACGCCGAACTCCACGGCCCGAAGCTCGAGGGAGGCCTGAAGGGTCCCGATGTCGATCTGAAGGGCCCCAAAATCGCTCTCGAGGGCCCCGAGGTCGATGTCAACGGCCTGGAGGGGAAAATGAAGCTTCCGAAGATGAAGTGTCCCAAGTTTGTTTTTAAAGGGGAAGGTCCCGAGGCGAACTTGAACGTGGCGAAGGCAGAGGTCGGTTTTTCAGGCCCCGAGGTAGATATCGGCGTCCCGGCTGTGAGCGTTGAAGTTCCAGAGGGCAAAGTCAAAAGTCCTAAACTGAAAATGCCGGAAATGCACGTGAACGTCCCTAAAATCTCCATGCCCGAGATAGACTTGAACTTGAAAGGTCACAAAACGAAGGGAGGCTTTGAGGTGTCAAGCCCAAAGATGGAAGGGAGCCTCAAAGGGCCGGAATTTGGGGTCAAAGGGCCGGACTTTGGGGTCAAAGGGCCGGACTTTGGGGTCAAAAGCCCCGAATTTGGGGTCAAAGGCCCCGAAGTTGACGTCGAATGTCCTGACCTCAACGTCGAAGGCCCGGAGGCCAGCGTCAAATTCCCCAAGTTCAAGAAGTCGAAGTTTGGGTTCGGGCTAAAAAGCCCGAAGGCGGAAATCAAGGCCCCGGGGTTCGAAGTGGATTTACCGGAGGCGGAGCTTAACGTGGAGGCGCCCGACGTCAGCGTCGCCGCGAAGGGCAAGAAGAGCAAGTTCAAGATGCCGAAGCTTCACGTGAGCGGCCCCAAGATGAGAGGCAAGAGGGGCGGGTTCGACGTCAACGGGGCCGGCGGAGACCTCGACGCCGTTTTGAAATCTCCCGACGTGGACGTGAACGTGGCCGGAGCGGACGTGACCGTCAAAAGCGACGCGGCGGTGAAATCCCCCAGAGGGAAAAAAACCGTTTTTGGGAAAATCTCCTTCCCCGACGTCGAGTTCGATCTGAAATCGCCCAAATTCCGGGGAGACGCTTCGGGGGGAGCCCCGAAAATTGAAGGGGAGCCCAAAACGCCCGGTCTCGAGGTCTCCGCGCCGAGCGTCGACCTCAAAGGGCCGAGCCTCGGCCCGGATGTCGAAGGCCTCGCCGCGAACGCCAAGAAAACCAAGTTCAAGGTTCCCGGCGGGCAGGTGGGCGCCGGGGACTTGAGGGTCGAAGGTGACGCGGAGGGACCCGCCCTCGAGGCGGCCGTTGCCTCCGTCCCGGGCCGAGATGTTGACCTCAACGGGAAAGGACCAAAAGTGCGAAGCGAACCGGGAGTTCCCGGCGCACAACTGGAAGGTCCCGAAGG